GCCCCCACCCACCTTGGCCTTGAGCACTGCCGGGGGGGGGCCAGCCACAGCTTCTCTGGGCAGCCTGGACCAGTGTTTCCCCACCCTCATGGGGAAGAATTTCTGCCTAATATCTCATCTAAATCTACCGAGGTTGTTCAGTTCTGACCTGCTGTCATCACGCTTCAGGGGCATTTTTGATATCCCGTGAGGTTATTAAGGGGCAGCAGCATGGAGCAGCCGTCGATGTGCCGCACGCGGTCAGAAGCCGTGCTGATCAGTGCCGCCCTTTGCTTTACCAGGTTTGCTCCCCCCTTGCATCAAACGACCTTCTCAGCGGGGATGACGTCGGGCAGTGTGATAGCATCTCACGGTGCCCCTGAGCAACGCTGCCGGTGCGGCCGAGCTGGCTGCCGCTTCGAGCGGGGGTAAAGCGCGGCCGTGGCTGGAGTTAAGGCTGTGTGACGGGCTGTGTCACTTGAAAACGGGGAAGGATTTTTTGTTTTTCCTGCGTCGTGCTGCGTGGCGAGATGCGGGTTGTGATTTTTCCTGCCAGCCACACGGCGAAGGGCTCTCTTCTGCCTGTCCTCAGGAATCACACGACACACGCACTGGGTAAGAGATCGGGTTTAAAGCAGCAACCCGGGGGTGAGCTTTTCCATCTCGCCAGCCACAGACGCGGGGTGTTTTCCATGCCAAGCAGCCATTTTAATACATTCCCAATTTTGCTCTGAACGCCAGCAGCGTGTGGTTTGTCCTCGCGTGTCTGTGAGTGCGTGCGTGCGCGTGGTGGGAGCGGGGGAGATGGTTTTCCCGAGGGCGATCGGGCAGCCCGAATGCTGTCTGTCCCCAGCAGGAGCCCTTTGGTCTGCCTTCAGAAGCCACCCTCCAGAAGTGAAAACACGGTCTCCTGGGGGTGAAGGCAAACATGAAGCAAATGACTTCTTGCAGCCAGAATACATAAACATTTTTTTTTTTTTTTGCAGTCCACTTTTTTAAAAGACAAAATAATGCTTCCTCTAGCTAATCTTACTCCCATCCTCTGGCCTGAGGAAACATCTGCTCTCCATGGTAGGCTCGGTTGTCCCAGCTAGTTCCCGTTAAGAGTTCCCTTCTCTTCCATTGGCATCGTCTGCCTCCGCCTGCCCCCATTCCTGCCCACCAGCGTTCACTGCCACAGCAGTCCCGAAGCAGGGAACCCACCCTGATGTCAAGGTTTTACTCAGGTGAGGTTTAACCAGCTTTACTTGGTGGGTTTTTAGCAGCTCGTGCGCTGTGCTGATCCACAGCACGTTCCCCTGGGTGAGATCAGGAGCGAGTCTGTTAGCCGTCGCGCTGTTCCCGCAAAGATCGCTGATGCAGCAGAAAAAAAATCACCCTGGCCAGTCCTGTGTCCTTGCAGGCTCTTCATCTGTGCTGTGCGCTGGTTTGGAGCTGGGGCTTTGTTCTGGGAGGCAGAGCGGGCTGCAGGGCTGCGGTGCAGTGAACGACGGTTGGGAGTGGGTTTGTCACGGATAAATTGGTCGTTGACTCCTGGAGAGTGTCCAGCGGAGGGCTACGAGGATGGTGAGGGGACTGGAACATCTCTTCTACGAGGAGAGGCTGAGGGAGCTGGGCTTGTTCAGCCTGAAGAAGAGAAGGCTG